CCATTTATGCACATGCTCAATGGCAGATGGCCACAAATTCATCAAATTAAAACCCTTTTTTTCATCAAAAATTTTGCAATTTGCCAAAATTTTACCCGTTCAAAATTACCAGCTATACAGTATTTGGTTCATAGCAAACCTGAACAGTTTCTATTATTTGTATCTAAACTGTAACCATCATGACACAAGCATGAATAACTTCCAATTGTATTAACACAAATATGTTCACAATCACTGTCAGCACATTCATCAATATCTATATAATCAATATTATTATTAAAGGTAAACAAAATAATACATTATACCTGAACAATTATATCCATTGAGATCCAAACTAAAGCCAGGATGACAACTACATGCATAACTTCCAAAAGTGCTAGTACAGAGTTGGTCACAACCACCATTATTGCTCAAGCAAGGATCTAATAAATAATAGCTCACATGCATAATAATGGTATATTTTCCATACCATTTCCTGTTAGATTTATTCCAGCACTATAAGAATAACCATGGTAGCTATCAAAGCCATATACTAGTGCAATGAAACGTGTCTGCATAAATAATGTATAAGAAGATGAGGTGGAGATTGTGTTAAAAGGAATTTGTGCTCCGTACCCAATAATACTGCTCATACTGTTATATATATTGTTCCAAGTTACTGATTGTAACTGGCCATTGATGTACAACGAACCTTTTGTAGTTGTGGCAATGTTAATAAAATTATTAGTAATTGTTGAAAACCCAGGAATAACCAATGTTATGTTCTGTTGATGCAGTTCTATTGGGGGAATCAGTGATATGACTGGATCACCTTTACCACTGCCAGAGCCTTGACTTGGCCCTAATTGTGTCACAAGCACTGGTTTATTAGAAATAATGGAGCAGTAACTGGAATTAGAATATAAAGTAGTGACATCTCCTACATTTTGTAAATTAAAATTATTGCCTCCACTAGCAGAACAAGTGAAATTTAAAGAAGTGCTTCCTAAAGCTGCTACAACTTTAAAGTAAGGGCCATGTGATCGTGTTGCATAAGGAGTCAAAAGGAATTCTTTGCCCCATATTACTGTTGGAAGTATTTGTTCCGCGATTTGTTGACAGCAACAAAAAAGAGGAATATTGCTACACTCATGACCACTGATTACTGTCAGAGGCTTATCAGATACAATACTAGTTCCACTGATGTCAACTGCTGGAGCACCAATGAGAAACGTTTGCATTCTGTGAATGGTAAAATTAAATGATGAGCCAGCAGTGACTGTTTTACTGTTACTATTTGTCTGAATATCAATAGGAACAGAAACAGTTTGAGTAGGAATGACAGTGACAGTTGTGTTATCTTCATTTCCAACTAATAATACCTCACTCAAAGTAGTAGCACCAATTGCCCCAGTAGATACAGCATAATATTGATATTCTGAAAGGGCCAAGTTCTGATATGGGTAGGCCATATAGTCTCCAAAAGTACCATAGCGTCTATTAACCACTAGTACAGAGATTAATCCTCCATTTGTTGAGTAAATATATATTCCTTTAAAGCGACTGGAATAAAGGCCATCATTAGTAACAAGTGTTGTTGGTAAATTAATATCAACAGGGACACTGCTATTGACACTGTAGCTACCAATACTTCCATTGGTGGTTTCAATTGAAAAAGAAACTGAAGAGACAGAGGGAGTTGTGATATACAGAAGAAGGTCATCGGTTTCTCCTCCGTAGTTTCTCATGGCTCCAACATAAAATTCAGTGCCATAAGCAGCTGAAGCATCTTGAAGCAAAACTGTATGTATA